TTACTTTTTTTCCTACCAGCCACCCTGGCAGCCGGCTCTCTTCCAAAAACCTGAGACTGTTTACCAAACCCCTACTACCTATAGACCTAATTACTCATCTTCACCTCGACTTCCAACCACCCCTAGACCAACTTACAATCCTTCACCATTTTCCACACCCAGACCCTACAGACCTACACCTAGACCTCCTACTACACCTAGACCTACTACACCTAGACCTCCTACTACACCTAGACCTCCTACTACACCTAGACCTCCTTATAATCCTATTACATCCAGATCATTTTTCCCTAGACCTGTAACTAGCGCTCCCGTATCATTAACGACCCCGCATTTACATTTTGCACCATCTCCCACAACGTCGAGACTTTTTAAGGTACCAACTACGCAGCAACCTTTCTTTAAGCAACCGACTACCACTTCTCGACAGTATGAACCACCTACAATAGTCAGCAGACCATTGTACCCACCACCCAGTTTCGAGACGGAAGCACTGTTTCCAAGGGAAGTTGCCCTTTCCCACAGACAAACTACAGATGACGTAGGCAGTCTCACAGCCAGCAGGGCCTCGTTCGATGTAACGTCTTCAGGCGCCAGTGACTCCAGGGCTCCAGGAAGACTCAAAAATGAATTGCCAAAGTTCCCGCCAGCTAACTCCAGGCCCTTCCCTTCTGCCCATTCCTCATTGTCAAAAGGTTTCCCTCCAAAGAAATCTTCCTTCGCTGCTCCTATAACACCTTCAGGCGCAGCAGCTGCACACTTTGGTATTTCGTCCCGCAACTTTGGAGAAAGTGGCAGCTCACCAGAGGGCCCACCTTTGTCTACTGGGGCTACAGCAGCCAACCACAGGTTTGGACCAGGTGCAGCGACCTCTGGCAAGTCTTCAGAGGGTAGACCTCCAACTATTAGCAGTTTTAGTTTCAATACCGGAGGATCGTCAACTTCGTTCAACATTTATGGCTAAGTTGAATGACGACAAAAATGGAACCACACTAAAAGTAAAAAAAAAAAAAAAAAATTTGCTGAAAATTAGCATAACTGATTCCCATATTACTATGCATTAGACTCGTTTTGAACATTTAAGGAATAAGATTTACACTGCAGCTCTGGCAAAAAAAAAAAGTATAGAAACTTTTAATGTGGTGGTATATAAAACACATCGTGCAATAGATTAATTAAACAAACGAGAAAAGAACCGTATTAGCGAGAATATTGGACTTACCTGTTTAGTGCAGACTTGCACATTTTGGAGGCTTTTATTCCACAAGGGTTCACAGATGAAAAGCACATTAGTAATGAATTATACAGTGCAGATATATGCCAATCTAGTTTATAGAGGAAATCAAAGTATAGAAACAGTTAAGGTAAGACTACGATACTGACTGAGATTGAGAACATTTGTATCTTGTTGCTAAACTGCGTTCTTTTAAGGAAGATTTATGGGGTAATTTTTAGTTTGTGTGTGGTTGAAGGTTATATAATTTATGCTAATTTATATATTTATTTGCTAACATATTTATTCTTAATTAAGATGAGCTGTGACTACTACACACCAGCATCATGTAATTTATTTTTAATATTTGCCTAACACTGTATCCAGTGATGGTGCAAAGGTTATGGAGGTGACAACAGGTGCACCTGGACCACCATTTGTTTCACGTAACACTTGCGTTTTAACACAAATGGTACTGTTACTTTTATTAATTTAGGAATATTATAAATTCCGTATAACTGAAAATATAAAAAAAAAAAGTGCATAACTGGCACTAACGAGTTTTGAACCATAAACTGGTTAAAATTTTTGCATTAGGCAATGTTAAACTGAGGAGCCTTAATACAGTTAACGTTAATTTCCTCCCGTCTCAAGGGTGTTGTTGCTCCATAACCTTCGTGGCTGCCTGTGGTAATTATACTTTTTCTTTAGAGTCGGTATATGCTCTCTATCTAAAGTTGTTACTTTGCTAAGTGCAGTTTTGTTACATCTTTTTAATTATAAAGGCAATTCATAATTCTAAAGTATTTATGTAAAATATTTTTGGTGTTTGTGTTTTTGTTAATTTTGTAATAACATTAAATGCAAATTTCCCATTAATTTTCTTTCATGTATTTCCTATTTGGCACACAACTGTTTTAGATGGTAGTGAAGCACAGTAGTAACACTAATTTGCACGGAGTCTTCCAGGAAATTCTGAATAATGGGGATTTTCTTCATTCAGTTTCTAGATAATTTTGGTAGAATCCTTTGTAACAAAAACGTGTGTGTGGGGGGGGGGGTGTAGTTTCTAATATTTGTTAACAAAAAGCTGGAATAAGTGAAAAGAATATTTCTGAAACTCCTGTTAAGGGATATTTAATACATTAGCGAAATTGTAACCACAGCTTGGATTGAGAGTAAAGGAATTTGCTCTCATTTCTGTCCTGCTAGTCTAGTCCACTTGCACGATTATAATATGATATTCTTAAACCAATAAATAGATGTAGATACAGCAGTGAACGAACTTTCCGGTGCTTTTCAGTAACAATATATGTAAGGTTTCTTATCGGCAACAAAGAATTGATTCAGTTACGTTACTCTTTCGATTAAAGTTGGAAAAGAATCCGCAACTGTGGCTCGCGTGAGTCTTCGTAAGCCCATCAGTTTGTAGACCTGTGACGTGACTCGCGCATATCTTTGATGTTCTAGTTCTCGTTTCCATGTGACAGTTATGAATGTTTTTCATCGAACACCAAAGCCTCTTTGGAATTAAAATGTTGACTCTAACGTGAAAATATGTAGGCATGTGAAAAGTCGTTCAGATGTAGAACACGGGAACTGAAGAGATTGAATGTGAGTAGTCAAATTGACGTTGATTGCAAGGAATGTGTAATTGGGGGTTTAAACCCCCTTTATTTAAATTTTTTTTATAAGGAATTTTAGCTTTGTCCCACGGCAGTTTTCACTTCAGAGCAGAAAGCTACGATCACTCTGATCTAGTGTATTTATATTTTCCCTTGAGAAAATACCTCTAGCTGATCCTTTGACGACCTGCCACTTTTTTCATTTTTTTTTGGTATTAAATACAGACAAGTCGATGAAGATTATAGGAAAAAAAATTTTTATAATATATATTATATTTATAAATATATTAATATTGTATTTGTCCCCCACGAACGAGGGTTTTGGTAAATAACAACACCGAACAAGGATTTAACCCATGCTGTTTTGGCCTGCCTCATGGGGGGCGAAAACTCAGACGCCTTTTTTACCCACGGGAAAACAACCCTTTAAATAGCGCACCCCCCGGGAACTGAATGTTGTACTCAACCCAAAGGAAAACGTTGGGTGGATGATTCAGGGTAATTTCATTCTAGTCCCCGTTTGGTGATTTTTTCAACGAGAAATTTTTATATTTTGTGCCCACGAACGAGTGGGCAGTGTTATTGATCAGTACCACTCGTTCGTGGGCACAATAATATAAAATACTGTTCGTTGTAAAAGTACACCAAACAGGGACTAGAATGAAATTAGCCTAGAATCATCCACACCAACGTATGTCCTTGGGTAGCGAGTACAACATTCAGTTCCCCTGGGTGCGCTACTCTTAAGGATTGTTTGGTCCCGTGGGTAAAAGGCGTCATTTGTTTTCGCCCACCATGAGGCAGGCCAAAGCAGCATGGGTTAGTCCTTGGCTAGTCGGTGTTATTGAGATATATATTTATTTGTGTGTGTTTTTTGCCAACCGGTGGCTTCTTAAATTTAGTAGATTATATAATGGGGACAATGGAAATTGAGTAAAACAGTCCCTCAACTTTGATACGTGTTCAGTACCTTAGTCTCCATGAATCTGAAGCAAAGGCAGGAGGGACACTTGCGTGCTGACACCACAAGATAGGTGTAGCAGTTAAACGCATAGCCAAAGGTGGGTGGGATCCACTATTGGAAGCAGGTTGTGCCCAAGAGTTGGGATCAGAGGTTAACGATAGGGTTGTAGACTATATCCTCTGGGCCAAGATTCCATGGCGATTGTATCAGACAAGTAGCGTTACATTAAGGACATATAGTACACACACATTGATGAATAGGTCGTATATGCAACATCTGTTATATCTTCATGTAAAATTTTATGAACAGGGGTTGGTGAAGCGTCTCCATAATCTACACGATCAAATCAATCTTCAAATGTGAAAATTACCACCACCCCATTAATAATAATATAGCCAAACAGTATAGCACCATCGGTTTTAAAATGCTCAGCCGGACTAAGCTATCCACTCGATAAATATTTAAGGTTTTACTTAAAGCACCTATTCGTCCGGGTTTAGCGCTTTTCTTTTAAATATGATTAAGATGGTAAAGCGGTAGGCAAATGGAAGATATCACACGAGCCAGTATTTACTGGTTATATGTTGAAATGTAATGGAAAAACAGAAAAGTGAGTGAGACACCATGTTGAGCAGAAATCAACTTTTTAACACTGATCCAGCTACAGGACCGTGGGCAAGCTTGGGACGGACTTATAATCATGGGGTAGTGCGAAACCCGTTGGATTATATAGCGCATGTGGGGAGGGATGTGGAAGGTATTCAGGCTCAATTCAGGGAACCGGAGCACCGATCCAATTCCTAGACCAAGAGCCCCTCACCAACGTCAAGGAACCTCCCTTGGCTGGGGGACGGATATCATAGGTATGATAGGCTCTGAGTATTTTTTCCATACATAAAAAAAATATTAAATGCACAATTAATTACCAAAGTCGTGCTCTGGGTGTTGCATAAGCAGGCTTGCTTGTAGTATGAGAGGTGTCCTGTTTAGCATGAAACAGGTCAGTTAGCCTCGTGCTTTATGAACAAAGCGTGTGGGTATACTGTTCCCATTCTACTAATGAGAAGCTGTGGTTTTGTCTTTAAACGAGCATAAACGGGAAAAGATTAGTGTGTTTAACATAGTGTGGAAGGGGATTTTTTTTTCTTTCATTATTCTTGGTGGAATAAATTTGTATATTACCATGCCTCCAGTCTTTATCTAGGTAAAAAGTTTTCATTAAAATTCATTAATTAACCCTGTAAGGCTTATGAGGTGCTCTGTTACGGTCGTGCCAAGGTTTCCAGGTTTCACATTGCAAGAATTCCCTCTACACTATTATCCTCATTTAGGTTAGTGTGGATAATCTAAAAGACAAAACCATCCTGTGTCCGTGTGGCCTCATAAATCAAATACATCATGACAATTTTCCTCGAAAGATAAATTTGAGATTATAATTTAGAAAGCTTTCTTGAAAAGTACTTACCCTCCTAAGACTAACCTGGAAACTACAAAAAACGATGAGTAAAAGGTAAACTACAATAGACAAAAGACAGGGAAACAACAAGCGTGTTCTAATGGAAATGTCACTAGTGGGATGCCTCAGGGATAGATACCTGCCGTGGTTCTAATTTACATAAAAAAAAAAAACTTAACCGAAGGTTTCAACGCTGTGAATTTATTTGCAAATAACCCAAAGATTTTCTGCAAAATAAATAAGTTATTGTGGGCCAATAAAAGGAAACGTTAATTGAACAAATGGAGTGATAATGATGGAATTTAAAAAAAAAATGTAGAGTAATAGAAATGGGAGAAAGTAAAAACACGCCACAGAGAATGAGTTTATGAAATATTAAAAATCAGAAGGATGCAACAGTTATAATTGTCACTGGAAGATCATGTAAATGGAACTGAGAAACTCTTAGGCTGCACCAACAAACTAAACCCTAACCCCATCTCCTCACTCTCAAGGAATGTTCCTTCATGCAGGCGAGGCGCTCGTGATTCGACTAATTTAACCTGTTTTACCCTTGCGTCAAACTTGCTTCCTCCTATCCCCCACCCCCGTCCTCGAGCGCTGTATAACCCATACGGGTTTAGCGCTTCCAACTAAATGAAGTGTAAATGAGGTATGCTCAATCTAACTTTCAGTAACCTTCCAGCAGAATATATCTTGTCCTACATACTTAACCCCCCCCCCATTAATTTATTTTAAATTAACCATATACAGCTCACACTTCATATATCCTTATTATAGAATTACTGTTTGTAGTATTTGTAATATACAGCCATAAGTGATATATTCAACAGCGATGAAATATTCTCAGTGCTATATATTTTAATGTAACATAAATCTTATACGAGGACTTTAGTAATGAGTAACGGCTATATAGCTCACATACTCTAAACAGTATGCAGGTAAAAAAAAAAATTATTGGTACATAGGAAATTTAAAAGTAGCGAAGGTTTACCTTCAGATTTCAGGGATCAGTGCCTCCGTGGCCCGGTGTCAGAGCAGGCCTGCTGAGATCAGGAAGCTGCACTAGACCCACGCAGTCCAGTGTAGACACCACAGCAAGGCTGATAAAGAACTAACTTGAAAATGTTGTAAAGTGATTTTTGCTCCCTCGCTGGATAACAATTATATTGCTAGATATCAAAACTTTAATATTTACAATTAATCTCTAAGGATGAGTAATATTGGCTTGGCTCTGGGGGTAACGACAAACAACAATGTTTATAAAACAATAATTCTTAAAAATGATTGAAAACTAACAAAAATGAAGTCATGAGGCCTTAAAGGGTATGAGTGGCAGGGGGGTGGGGTATTTTCTCAGGAAAAATAAGACAATATCTCCTGACGCGGATCTTAGTTGTATGATGTCCTCTTCAGTGCAACTTTAAAATCATTTAACAGGCTGGTCCTTTCAATAAATTTAAATTCTTTAACGCTGAAAGTATTTGGAGAATTCGAATGGTGTCTGCAAAGTTCCTAGACCTTCAAATAAAAGTAAATTGAAATATTAAACTGAATCGCCTGCTAGCCTACGAATATTAAAAATTCCGGTTCGGATTCATTAATTGCTAGTATTCCCATTCTGTTGTATATTCTATGATCGTGAATGCTGACCTCCCTGAGCTGCGTTAACCTGGTTTTCAGACAAAGCTGAATTGCGAGGTTCTGTGGGACGACCTGGCGCTGGAGGTCCGGTGGGCCGTGGCCGGGGAGAGCATCGTCATGCAGCTCGTCGGCAGAATAGGTAAGTTCTTCCAGCTGGCTACTTTGTGGTGCATGTACTGTGTACCTCTTAACAAACTTTTGGATAATGTGCTGTTACCATCTGGATGCAAACACCTCATTTGGCGCACTCAGCTGGTTTGAAAGTTTGACTGCTTCATATTGTAACTCAAGTCCTAGGAAAAATCAGCGTATGTCGATAATTGTGTAGATAACGCCACTGATAAAAAATTTTTAAATTACCAAATAGTCTTTAATGGTGTTTAGGCTATTTTATTAAAAATGTCCTGTCATTGCGGCGGTATGTTGACTAAGAACCGAGTGACGCTGTCAGATTTAACGGCAGAAAGTTTCACCCTTTGAAAACCTAATCTTTATGGTAAACTTATACAGAAAGTTGCAGGAACATGTAAGAGTTCTTACCTATGTAAATTTGGCGCTAACACACTAGTACGCATACTGTTAGGAAGGAAGTCGAACTGCCACCACAAGTCACGACGAAAGCTGCCGTACAAATTCAGTGGATGAAGCTTGCACCAATTTCTTAATCAGTTTAACGTGCCCATGTCCCTGGAGGAATAAAAACAAAAAGCAAAAAAGTGGAATTTCATCCAATGAGAAACCAAAACTTAAGTTTTTTTTTAACAAGGCTCGCTCATATGGCTCATAGTACTTGCCTACAGGTAGGCAGGTATCTCTTCACTCAATTTCTGTAATATATACATAAATATATTCTAGACAAATGCCACAGGGTATGGAGCTATTTCACCATACCCACACAACAGTCGCTGAGTAAGGGACTTGATGTAAGGAGAAACGGGGGGAAATAGAGAAATTGGCCAAGATATAGAGATACATATATTATATAATATATATATATGTATATGTATTTTTTTTTTTATCACACTGGCCGATTCCCACCAAGGCAGGGTGGCCGGAAAAAGAAAAACTTTCACCATCATTCACTCCATCACTGTCTTGCCAGAAGGGTGCTTTACACTACAGTTTTTAAACTGCAACATTAACACCCCTCCTTCAGAGTGCAGGCACTGTACTTCCCATCTCCAGGACTCAAGTCCGGCCTGCCGGTTTCCCCGAATCCCTTCATAAATGTAACTTTGCTCACACTCCAACAGCACGTCAAGTATTAAAAACCATTTGTCTCCATTCACTCCTATCAAACACGCTCACGCATGCCTGCTGGAAGTCCAAGCCCCTCGCACACAAAACCTACTTTACCCCCTCCCTCCAACCTTTCCTAGGCCGACCCCTACCCCGCCTTCCTTCCACTACAGACTGATACACTCTTGAAGTTATTCTGTTTCGCTCCATTCTCTCCGTATGTCCGAACCACCTCAACAACCCTTCCTCAGCCCTCTGGACAACAGTTTTGGTAATCCCGCACCTCCTCCTAACTTCCAAACTACGAATTCTCTGCATTATATTCACTGCATTATATTCACACCACACATTGCTCTCAGACATGACATCTCCACTGCCTCCAGCCTTCTCCTCGCTGCAACATTCATCACCCATGCTTCACACCCATATAAGAGCGTTGGTAAAACTATACTCTCATACATTCCCCTCTTTGCCTCCAAGGACAAAGTTCTTTGTCTCCACAGACTCCTAAGTGCACCACTCACCCTTTTCCCCTCATCAATTCTATGATTCACCTCATCCTTCATAGACCCATCCGCTGACACGTCCACTCCCAAATATCTGAATACATTCACCTCCTCCATACTCTCCCTCCAATCTGATATCCAATCTTTCATCACCTAATCTTTTTATCCTCATAACCTTACTCTTTCCTGTATTCACTTTCAATTTCCTTCTTTTGCACACCCTACCAAATTCATCCACCAATCTCTGCAACTTCTCTTCAGAATCTCCCAAGAGCACAGTGTCATCAGGAAAGAGCAACTGTGACAACTCCCACTTTGTGTGATTCTTTATCTTTTAACTCCACGCCTCTTGTCAAGACCCTCGCATTTACTTCTCTTACAACCCCATCTATAAATATATTAAACAACCACGGTGACATCACACATCCTTGTCTAAGGCCTACTTTTACTGGGAAATAATTTCCCTCTTTCCTACATACTCTAACTTGAGCCTCACTATCCTCGTAAAAACTCTTCACTGCTTTCAGTAACCTACCTCCACCATACACCTGCAACATCTGCCACATTGCCCCCCTATCCACCCTGTCATACACCTTTTCCAAATCCATAAATGCCACAAAGACCTCTTTAGCCTTATCTAAATACTGTTCACTTATGTTTCACTGTAAACACCTGGTCCATACACCCCCTACCTTTCCTAAAGCCTCCTTGTTCATCTGCTATCCTATTCTCCGTCTTACTCTTAATTCTTTCAATAATAACTCTACCATACACTTTGCCAGGTATACTCAACAGACTTATCCCCTATAATTTTTGCACTCTTTTATCCCCTTTGCCTTTATACAAAGGAACTATGCATGCTCTCTGCCAATCCCTAGGTACCTTACCCTCTTCCATACATTTATTAAATAATTGCACCAACCACTCCAAAACTATATCCCCACCTGCTTTTAACATTTCTATCTTTGTCCCATCAATCCCGGCTGCCTTACCCCCTTTCATTTTACCTACTGCCTCACGAACTTCCCCCACACTCACAACTGGCTCTTCCTCACTCCTACAAGATGTTGTTCCTCCTTGCCCTATACACGAAATCACAGCTTCCCTATCTTCATCAACATTTAACAATTCCTCAAAATATTCCCTCCATCTTCCCAATACCTCTAACTCTCCATTTAATAACTCTCCTCTCCTATTTTTAACTGACAAATCCATTTGTTCTCTAGGCTTAACTTGTTAATCTCACTCCAAAACTTTTTCTTATTTTCAACAAAATTTGTTGATAACATCTCACCCACTCTCTCATTTGCTCTCTTTTTACATTGCTTCACCACTCTCTTAACCTCTCTTTTTCTCCATATACTCTTCCCTCCTTGCATCACTTCTACTTTGTAAAAACTTCTCATATGCTAACTTTTTCTCCCTTACTACTATCTTCACATCATCATTCCACCAATCGCTCCTCTTCCCTCCCGCACCCACTTTCCTGTAACCACAAACTTCTGCTGAACACTCTAACACTACATTTTTAAACCTACCCCATACCTCTTCGACCCCATTGCCTATGCTCTCATTAGCCCATCTATCCTCCAATAGCTGTTTATATCTTACCCTAACTGCCTCCTCTTTTAGTTTATAAACCTTCACCTCTCTTCCGTGATGCTTCTATTCTCCTTGTATCCCATCTACCTTTTACTCTCAGTGTAGCTACAACTAGAAAGTGATCTGATATATCTGTGGCCCCTCTATAAACATGTACATCCTGAAGTCTACTCAGTCTTTTATCTACCAATACATAATCCAACAAACTACTGTCATTTCGCCCTACATCATATCTTGTATACTTATCCTCTTTTTCTTAAAATATGTATTACCTATAACTAAACCCCTTTCTATACAAAGTTCAGTCAAAGGGCTCCCATTATCATTTACACCTGGCACCCCAAACTTGCCTACCACACCCCCTCTAAAAGTTTCTCCTACTTTAGCATTCAGGTCCCCTACCACAATTACTCTCTCACTTGGTTCAAAGGCTCCTATACATTCACTTAACATCTCCCAAAATCTCTCTCTTCTCCAGGTGCATACACGCTTATTATGACCCACTTCTCGCATCCAACCTTTACTTTAATCCACATAATTCTTGAATTTACACATTCATATTCTCTTTTCTCCTTCCATAACTGATCATTCAACATTACTGCTACCCCTTCCTTTGCTCTAACTCTCTCAGATACTCCAGATTTAATCCCATTTATTTCCCCCCACCGAAACTCCCCTACCCCCTTCAGCTTTGTTTCGCTTAGGGCAAGGACATCCAACTTCTTTTCATTCATAACATCAGCAATCTGTTTCTTGTCATCCGCACTACATCCACGCACATTTAAGCATCCAGTTTTATAAAGTTTTTAATCTTTTTAGTAAATGTCTACAGGAGAAGGGGTTATACCCATTGCTCCCGGATTTTATCGCCTCTACGGGACAGCAGGCTTACGGAGGAAAGATTTTTTTTCCATTCCCCCAGGGACAATAGAGAAATAGGGGAAAAAGGGGTATTTAGAAAAAGGAAAAAAAACCTAGATGTATGAATATATATGTTTTATTTAGCATGTGCTGTCTGTGAAGTGTGCAAAGTGTAAGTGGGTAGCAATTTATCCCTGTTATCAGGTTTTATGAGACAAAAAAAGAAACCAGCAATCCTCCCATATGCAAAACTTACAGGTTTCGTTTCCAGTCATTGGCAGGCGGTATACTTCCCTGGGGGGTTGCGGGCTCCCAACCCTATATAATATATATGTATTATTTGTATATATGTTTATATATGTATGTATATAGTGTAGGATATATGTGGTAAAAAATGTGTATTGTTGTGTTGTTTTTATATGTGTATATATGTGTATGTATTAATATAATTTTAAAATTTTGGTTTAGAAACATTTTTATAAAAAACTTGTGCAACATTTGGGGTTCTTTTCGGGGAAAAGATACCCAATTTTTGCACGAGTGTTTTGGTCGGTCATTTACAATTTGTATGTCTGCACTAAAAAAAAAGTTATACATCTTTGCAGATTTTGGCCCCAGTTGTTTTAAATTTAAAAAAAAAAAATCACCCGGATCTATTGTACTACTGCAGAAAAACCTAAAACACGTTTACTTGCATCCTTGTTTTGTTTTGCTTTAAAATTTTTTATTTTCTGTCAATTAACAGTAATGGGATAACCTATCTTTGAGAGTAATGATCTAATTTATGATCATAACCAAAATTTTTTAAAATTTTGGGGGGCCTGAAAACCAGCGAAAGGCATCGATTAGATAACAAAAGCTCCAATGGCGGGTCATCAAAAGACCCCTCAGGAAATAATTGTCCTTTTCCCTGAAAAACCCTTTACCTACT